ATTGTACCCTAACCCTCATTTATAATACAAATATAACAATACTGATCTAATTTGTGGAAACGTTTTAAGGATAACTGAAAATATGTATTTGAAACACTATGTATAGTTTAAAGCACGAGTGGGCCACATGGCTTGTGGCCTGCATGCACATCCCTTGTTTTTTATAGCAGCATCTCACTGCTAGAGGAATGGTTTGAGTTCTGGATTATGACCCTGGAAGACCAGGATTTGTTTATTTGTTTGTTTGTTTGTTTGTTTAATAGATTATTTTAAAACTTGAGACCAGGGTTTGTATACCTTCCCAGTCATGGAAACTCACAGGGTGACCTTTGGCAAGTGATACTTTCTCAGAGGAAGGCCATGGTAAATCACCTCTGAACAAAGCATGCTGACAAAGCTCTGCCGTTAGTCAGAAATGAATGGAAGAGACACACCAGAAACAACTCACTGCCAAACAAGACAGATCTGAAATTTGCCAGGTATGTAGTTGTGGTAAAAAGTGACAATTCCCTTTCAACACAAAGGTTTTGGGAGTGTGTGCCCAGTTTTCAATCTTAACGGTGCTTTCAAAGGGATTCATCATGGAGCATTAGTAAACTTGAAAACAAAGTGCATGCTGCCTTCACACATTGATTTGATTTATCTTGTCATTGCAGCTTTTTCAATTGACAAAATTGGTCTTTTTGACAATTCCTTGCACTCAAAGTTGCCAGCCACTTCCTGTCCTCAAGCTGTTACTAGCATAGAGTCACAGACCTGGTAAGAGACCACAAGCGCCACCCAGTTCAACCCGATGCCATACAGAAACATACAGTCAAAACACTCCCAACAGAATCACTCAGAAATTTTCAGCATTCTATGGAATGCTGTGAGTTTTCCGGGCTGTATGGCCAAGTTTCAGAAGCATTCTTTCCTGACATTTTGCCCACATCTATGGCAGGCATCCTCAGAGTTTGTGAGGACTGTTGGAAACTAGGCAAGTGAGGTTTATATATCTGTGGAATGTCCAGGGTGGGAGAAAGAACTCTTTAACTGTTGGAGGCAAGTGTGAATGTTGCAACTGACCATCCTGATAAGCACTGAATGGCCTTGCAGATTGAAAGCCTGGCTGCTTCCAGCCCGGGGGAATCCTTTGTTGGAAGGTGTTAGCTGGCCCTAATTGTTTCATGTCTGGAATTCCCCTGTTTTTTGAGTTTTGCTCTTTATTTATTGTCCTGATTTTAGAGTTTTTTAAAAATACTGGTAGCTAGATTTTTTTTATTATTTTCATGGTTTCTTCTTTTTTGTTAAAATTGTCCACACGTTTGTGGATTTCAATGTCTTCTCTGTGTAGTCTGACATGGCAGTTTTTAGAGTGGTCCAGCATTTCTGTGTTCTCAAATAATATGCTGTGTCCAACAGACCTCACAACCTCTGAGGATGCCTGCCATAGATGTGGGCAAAACGTCAGGAGAGGATGCTTCTGGGACATGGCCATACAGCCCAAAAAACTCACAGCAACCCAGTGATTCCGGCCATGAAAGCCTTCGACAACACATTCTATGGAATGTTTGAGTTTTACACTAGATTCAAAACAAAACAAAACAGAAATTACATTTTTTTTCCCTTGCAAAGACAAATATTATTCATTTATTGAACCCTTTTTGTATTTAAAGTGCAATTGTCCTTATCTCAATGATCCATCTGTGATACATGCCTGACATATACGTCTAACTACGTCAGTTTGTCTTTTCCTTTTTCAAAAAAATGCTCACCCTTCTGAAGTAGAAATCTTTCTTTACATTACTTCGGCAACATATAATTCAATTCTGGTATCAAGAACCACTTAAACGCGCATGAATCCTCCTCATCTATAGAATCTGGGAGGCTAAAACAAGATGAACATGACAATCAGTAGCCTTAGAGCAGCCATGAGCAAACTTTGACCTTTTAGGTGTTTTGGACTCCAACTCCCACAATTCCTAACAGCCTCAGGCCCCTTCCTTTTCCCCCTCAGCCGCTTAAGCAGCTGAGGGGGAAAAGGAAAGGGCCTGAGGCTGTTAGGAATGGTGGAAGCTGAAGTCCAAAATGCCTAAAGGATCGAAGTTTGCCCATGCCCAGTTTGGAGGCTCTTTGCTTAATTGAAGCCACTATGCAGGAAGGAAATCAAACTAGTGTCAGAATACAGCACTGAATTCAAAGCAGAAAGACAGTAACGGAAGTGAGTCACTAAAAGACTGTGAGAGTAACAGGTGGTTGAAACACATCGGATGGCAAATTTAGGGGTATCTTTTTGAACCAATTCACAATTGTCCATAAATATCCACAGAAGCCACTGCAAACCTTAAATGGCTTTAAGGACAAATAAAAAAATCCATGCAACTGCAGAGCTGGAAAGCATACAAACACCTGTTACAGGGCTTCCCACCAAAATAGGTGTCTTATCCTTAGTTGGGATAAGTGAATTCTTATAGCATAGAGTCACAGACTCTACTGCTTAAACAATTCATTTCAATTCTATCTGTATCCCACTTACTGTATACAATTCTATTTCTGTTATCATATGGAAATAATTCATTTTTTATAAATATAGGGCAAAGATTTATCCCGACCTTCTACCAACGGAATGTATGGGGTCATTTGAAGAAAAGATTATGTTTTTTATTCTGTCTACTTTTTTTTGAGCAGGCTACTGGGCCTCTGAAGCCATCAAAATAGGTTTGGTGGGATGTGTACAACCCAAACGTTCTCCATCCCTGTTTTACACGCTTCCCAAAATACTGCTTGTGCTTTGTACAATAGTGTCCTTTTGAACACATGCTCCAAGCTAACTGTGCATGGGAGAGCAGATGAATTGCATGCAAAAAGTTCCAGTTTCAAATCCTTAGAGCAGTGGCTCTCAACCTTCCTAACACCACAACCCCTTAATACAGTTCCTTATGTTGTGGTGACCCCCAACCATAAAATTATTTTTGTTGCTACTTCATCACTGTAATTTTGCTACTGCTTTGAATTGTAATATAAATATCTGATATGCAGGAAGCATTTTCATACACTGGACCAAATTTGGCACACATACCCAATACGCCCAAATTTGAATACTGGTGAGGTTGGGGGGAGGATTGACTTTGTCATTTGGGAGTTGTAGTTGCTAGGATTTATAGTTCACCTACAATCAAAGAGTATTCTGAACTTTACCAGTGATGGAATTGAACCAAACTTGGCACACAGAATTCCCATGACAAACAGAAAATACTGGAAGAGTTTGGTGGGCAGCGACCTTGAGTTTTGGAGTGACAGTTCACCTACATCCAGAGAGCGCTGTGGACTCAAACAATGTTGGATCTGGACCAAACTTGGCATGAATACTCAATATGCACTGGTTTGGAGAAAACAGACCTTGACATTTGAGAGTTTTAGTTGTTGGGATTTATAGTTCACCTACAATCAAAGAGCATTCTGACCATGTCAGTGATAGAATTGGCCCAAACTTCCCACACAGAACCGCTATGACCAACAGAAAATACTGGGTTTTCTGATGGTTTTTGGTGACCTCTCTGACACCCCCTTGTGACTCCCCCAGGGGTCCCCCCCCCTCAGGTTGAGAAATGCTGCCTCTATAACATTGCTGTCAGTCAAAGGAGACAACCAACAGTGGGTTAGATGGACAAATCATCTCAGCAGGGAGTTTAAGGCAGCTTCCTATGATTTTTGACATGGTCTTGTGTCTAAGAAAATCTAATTTAACATCGTCTGGTAGCCTCCCACTATCTAATGCAACCAATGAAGTGTGCAGGAATATTTCAATGTGGATTTTCTCTCTGTAACACTAAAATTATGCACCATATAGTATGCATTAAAATTCATCCTGAATCTCATTTGACAGAAAATACTGAAATATCTCTTTGCATTAAGCTCGAAGAGGTGCCGGAGTGTCGAATGACCAATTTCAAAAGTACAATGGAGGGAAACTAAGGAACATGATGCTTACACACAAACAACAAGACATGTATCTTGCACAACCACTGCAGAAAAGAAGACTTGTGCTTTTCTGCAGCTCCCACTAATTCAGTGGAACTTTTGTTCAGGGGATTATCTTTGTGGCTGGTGTGGCCACTGCAATCTGTGTGCACAAGAGAACCCTCCTTCCTTAATATTAACATGGAGAAAAAAGCACCTGTGATTTTTATTCAAAGCATTAGAATCAAATGATCCCAATCCTTCTGGTCATAAGAATCTACAAATGTTCTAGGTGAGGACACAAGTCTGCATGATCATTCAACAATACCCCCAAATACATGCTCCTTATTTATGAAGATAAATCCTTTGCCTTACTGTTTCATCAGATACAAGTATCTCTTGACATTTCAGTGCTCTTTCTGGTTTAGAGATGTATGAGCCAGCATGGGGTACAACAGGCCACATGACTGGTAATTTCACTTTAGATTTCACCAGAAAGGCTTGTGAAATATGCAATTCAGCATCATCCTGTTTCCAAGAAGGGTGGCACTGGCAAATGAAGGAATTGTGTAGCTCAAGTTCCTGACACAGTCATAATGCTAGGGAAAGGACAAACAGGAAGACAGTATGCTTCCATGCTCCTTTACATAACATCAGAACAAAATGACCCATGAAACAATATAACAAATTTGTAGGAAAACAAAACTGCAGTTAAAAAAGACAACAACAAAAAAGACTGACAAAAATAAACCAACTAGAAATTCCCATTAAGTACCAAAACAAACACATAACAAAGGGTATAAAAACTATCCATTTAAATATATACAAACTCTGTTTCAACTCAAATACTGCTTCACTTTATGCTGTTTTGAGTATTTTTAAAAAATATATGTCTCTGAGTGTATATCTACATGTGTGTATCTTTATAGTGATGAGGTCAGGAAAAATCCTATGAGTATATATTGCAACAGTTTAAAGAAAAACTGTTAATTCTGTTGGGTGGGAAATATTCTGTACCAAAAAAATGAGAAAAAGAGAAGAAGGGTAAATTCTGTTCTGGACATTCGCTGGGGTTAGGGGCACAAGACCCCTGTGAAAGTGGGAAAACTGTTCCTAAAAACCCTACTTTTAAAACCTGAGAGAACACCACTTTAGGAATCTCTAGGTCCTCCTGGAAGTCGACCACAGAATCATGATGGAGGACGTACAAATGCCTAAAGAAGTGTTCTCTCTAGCAATATCTAGGTTCTCCAGTGCAATTCTATAGGCACGCTGGAGGATCTAGAGATCTCTAGAGAGAACATATTAACCAAATCTGCAAATAATCAAATTTGGAAAATTTAAACCCGCAAATGTGGAGGACCAACTGTAGTGAGGCTTTTTTGCTTTTGGAAAACACGTATGGGATGGAAGAGTCATTTTTCAGCTGAACTCATTCGTTTGGATTTAATAAAGGCCATCCCATGTGTCCTCATGTGGGTGTTTAAGGCAGCTTCAGTTTCAAAGGTCTTTGCACAAACTTTGCACTTCCTGTCAGATACGGCATTGTCTAGGGACGCCTCTTCATGGCTGAGCTTGTTCTCTTGCTGACTGTTTTCCCCAGATCCGTTCTGTTTCGAGACCGGCTGTGGCTCCTTCAGCTTATGCACAATGAAGAGGTGCCTGGAGAGAGATACATGGGAGGTATAACAGAGACCACATTCCCGACATTGGTAAGACGAGCCATCAGACTTGTGCTGGGGAATATGTTCGTGGAACTGAAGAAGGTTCTCTGTTGTAAAGCCGCACACCGCACATTTGTGAACTTTGAAAACGTTGATCTTCAATTTCTTTAGCGGTTGAGTGATGGCACCTCGAGGGGGCCTGAATTCCAGCACAGGCTCCTCCAGTTTACGCTTTGGACTGGGAACCTGAAGTTGAGAATACGTCCATTAAGAAGGGGAAAGAAAAGGACCCTGTCACAATCATGCAGTGATTCTCAGGAATGTCTACAGTTTGAAATGAACCAAACTGCCTACCAGGAAGCAACCAAACTGACTGGCAGTTAGGTTTGGGACAAAAAATCAAAACAAGAAAGGAAGCCTTATGAAACATGGCATGAGTTTTTCACTCAACCCATTCCCCTCTACAAGAGGAGGCACAGCCTGGGAATTTCATGCACACCAGTTCCTTAAAAAGGCCACAAATTGCTGATGTTTCATCATTTATGGCTAGGACACAGAATTTCAGTGTGGAAGTCTGGAACTTTTTAAAAAAGAGATTGGCAAGTTTAGAAACACATGTATCTCACCTTGGCATCTTCTTTCACTGCACTTTCTCCTATGTTGGCTGATTCTGCCATCTCTTTCACATCAGGCTCCTTAATGCCATGCATCAACTGTATGTGTTTTTCCAACATCAATCGCTTGCTAAAAGTACGTTTTGAATCTGGACAATGCCTGTAATTAAAAACATTTGTTGTTTATTTGTTCAGCTGCTCTCAACTCTTCATGACTCATGGACCATCCCACACCAAAGCTCACTGTCGGCCATGGCCACCCTCAGCTCCTTCAAGGTCAAGCCAGTCACTTAAAGGATACCATCCACCCATCTTGCCCTTGGTTGGCCCCTCTTCCCTTTTCCTTCCCTTTTCCCCAGCATTATTATCTTCTCCAAGCTTCCCTGTGTTCTCATTACTTGGCCAAAGTACAAAATCAAAAACATAGAAAACTATAAATAGATACAATTGATATTTTGGGTAAACAGTAAGATTTTAAAAAATCCTACACAAGTGGGTCAGCTTGGGAAATCCTTTCCCTTACAGCTTTAGGTAAGTTAGCATTGTACTTGCCACCTGATCTCAGTAGGAGACGGGGAGGTTTTAGAAATGGAATCCTGACTGTAATAAGCATAAGCAGGTCATTCAGTACAGTTTGCTCTTTTTGAAAAGAAATTCAAAAGGCGGACTCACGAGCAGGTGTAAACTTTCCGAATGCCTTTGTGCTTGATTCGATTGTGGCGGCAAAGGCTGTGTGATGAACTGAAAGATTTGTCACACTGTCGACAAGGATGTTTCTTCATTTGCTTTAACAGAAAGAAAGAAAGCACTTAAAAGAGGAGCAGGTATGTTTACATTGACAGTAGAAAACAAGCAAACATGGAATTCATTCCTACCAATAATTAGGATACTGTGATATCCACTGCCTCTGCTGAACGCATTGTTTGGAAAGCATTGAGTTGGACAGACACAATATCATACTTAATACACAGTCATTAAAATCAGTGGGACTTTAATTAGTTCGGTCTCACTGCTTTCAATGGCTTAGCTCCAAGACTGACTGGGAGCCAACCCAATGTGTCCACTAGAGGGAGTGAAACTGTGTCCAACTATTTCTGGAAAGCAATGTGGGTATAAGATTTTTTTTACCCATCCTGCTACAGCACTTATTCTCATAGGTACCAGATGGGTACAAACAGAAAAGAGATGTGTGGCCGGAGAAGAGAACCTCCTTATGAACTTTCCCAGTTTCTTAGGCCCTGAGGAGCAAATGGAGTTCTGAAAATTCACTTGCCCAGGAAACAGTTAACAGAAATGCAGTATCGTGCATGAAGGTATGTGTTATATATAGGATATAGTTGGGTCAGAACTTGAAAAAAAAATGCATTTTTACACCCCCCCCCCCAAAAAAAAATCAGCAACAGAGAATTTCCATACACAGGGGCACATGGTTCTGGAATTGATAACACAAGAGGCCATCGCCTTTCTGCACTGAATTATGAGCTTCACTGCATTATGAGCTTCTGAAAGCATCTAACCTGCTCCCGTTGAAAGTGGTGTTGAACTAATACCAACATGCTCGTACCAGTTCAACGCCAAATCTGGGGACAGTTGACAGACAAGCACGCAGCTTGACAACATTATTTTTAAAAAGTAAAGCTCCCAGAATCACCCAGCAATGGGAGTTTGAGACCAAAAGAGGAACTTCTCAAAGTCGTGGACAGTTCTGAATTGGTGAGACAACTCTTGCATCAAGCTGCTAGGTAGAATCTTGTCTGTTATTTGCCTCCAGCTAGGGACCTTCCTTGGACTCAGGTTTACTGGAAGTTGCTAAGTAACTATGCTTAAACCATCTCTGAAAGACTGGCTTGGTTGATTTTTTTTTTGTCGTGTCAGGAGCGACCTGAGAAACTGCAAGTCGCTCCTGTTGTGAGAGAATTGGCCGTCTGCAAGGACGTTGCCCAGGAGACGCCCGGATGATTTTTGATGTTTTTATCATCCTTGTGGAAGGCTTCTCTCATGTCCCCGCATGAGGAGCTGGAGCTGATAGAGGGAGCTCATCCGCCTCTCCCCGGATTCGAACCTGCGACCTATCGGTCTTCAGTCCTGCCGGCACAGGGATTTAACCCACTGCGCCACCGGGGGCCCGGCTTGGTTGATCAAATAACTAAACAGCAGCGGGAGGACAAGAACAGCATTGGGTGTGCAAAGACTTATGTCATCCAAGAGGCCACAATGCACAGTTAGAACAGTTTCATCTGGTTTATTCTCATCTGGTCCAATTCACCACCTCTTCTGCCTTTGAAACCTACTGTATGGGTATTTCAATAAAGCATCCCATGCTTACAAGGCCCTGTTTTTTTTTTCTGAAGCATCTTCTGTCTCTGCTGACACCTTTGAGCTTATTGCATTTCTCACAATATTTCCCACATGGCACCCACTGCGCTCTTTTCCCCCTCATTCTCTAGCTACCTCAGATAGGAAAACTGACGTGATGTTTATTAGGCTTACTCACGCCTAGAGGTTTGCGCTGAGTATCAGCCTTGGACAATTATAAGCCTTTCCTCTCTTTTTAATTTTGCTGCTTCGGAAACCCCTCTTGGCAGGATGGTGGTGGAGAGGAAATCAAAAGCAGGCTTAAGGTAACAGACCAATATTTATTTAGACACCTCCAGCAAAATGTTGCCGTATAGAGTGTCCCTGTTCAAATCACATCTGTGTCCAGGCCATCCCATGCAGATGTGTTGAAATTCTGCTTCTGGTGAAGTCCAAGCTGACACAAAATATTTATCAGGATGCAGGGTGGGGAGATGCACAAGTAGGGGAGAGGAAGCTAGTATTGTCTGTTTCCCTGGTAGATGGAGAAGAAGTGGCTACAACCCATGAAAGGCTAGGATAATGACAGGGCTTTCTCTGTAGCAACAACCTAACTACAGAAATCCCTCCTGAGGGAAGTTTTCGTTGTCGTCGTCATCATCACCACCACCACCACCACCTCCATGAAAATGTATTAGTCAATTGATCACAATACAGTGTACATATTGTACACCTCAAGTTAATTATCTGCCTAACACACATTTTGGTGTCTCGGTCTGGGTATATTTGATCTGCTGATTTGAAAAACAATGTCCCCCTATTAGCTCTAGTTTTTGAGATGCAGAACATATGCCATTTACCAGTTGCTATCTGTGCATCCATCGAAAACCATAATAACCACATCTAAGAAACTAGAATGGATGCTGTCTATCCAATGCCATTTTCTGAATCAGTGGCCCAAATAACCATAGGAACAGGCCTAAAAACCAAGACACCAAGAAGTTGTTGTTGTTGCTGTTGGGCTGTGTTATTGGCCTGGGCATGATTTTTGCCCTGGGCATGATTTTTGAGTATGATGAGAACAACAGTCAATACTTGACTTGTGTACTTTATGTGACTGACACTGATAGGGCTGTATTTTAATCCGCAGCTATTGCTGTGTTTTATTGAGTATTTTTATTTAAACTAGAAGATGCATTATGCTGATATATACACACACACACACACACACACACACATATATATATATATATTAGGGCTGGGCGGTTTCGTTCGTTAATTGCGTAATTCGTTATTAATTCGTTATTTTTTTGATAACGAAGCGATATTGAACCATTCAGGAGCAACTAAAAAACGAAACGAATTTTTCCAATTCGTTTCGTTATTGGTTTGAAATTGTTTCGTAATTGTTTCGAAATTGTTTCGTAATTGTTTCGTTATTATTTCCATATGTCTGGTGCAAGTTTTATAGTCGTTGTTTGTTTTATCAGTGATAAAAAAAAAATTATCACACCAACAGTCAACAACAGAGGGAGAGGGAAGCTTCAGAAGTTCCCCCTGTCCCATTTGGAGGATTTTTTAGCATATTGCGCAATCGCGTCCGACATTAATGATCGAACTTTTTTAAAGAAAAATGTCGGAATTCTTTTAAATAATGAAACGCAAAAAACCCCTAAAAACGAATCGAGTTTAGAAACAAATTTTCCCGTGGTTGGACAGCCCTAATATATATATATATATATAAAGTTTTTTTTATTATTTATTTATTTATTTATTTATTATACTAATGTAAATTAATAAAGATGTTAATGGATCAGAATCCAATTCCAATTGGGTGAAAGTTATTTTAATACTTGTGCACTGATGTTATATGGAATGCAAAATGTGTTAATGACTGTTACCAGTTATTTATTTAACTATATTGCTAAAGCTTATTTGGTGTCTCAGAAACAGACTAATGACATTTTTAGCAACATGCAGATACAATAAATAAATATGATAAATATGGCCAAGTATCACATGCACTGAAAAATAGTGCAAAAACAATTTAAGTGCAGCCTGATTCTGAACTTCATATACTCTACTGATACAGGGTAAAGTTATGAACAATTTACCTTTCCGTGTTCTTTCCTCATGTGCGATATGTAAACATCTCTCTGGGTAAACAGCCGATCACATTCCCAGCACGTCCAGCCAGGGTTGGGTACTTTTTTGGGATCTGCCTTCTTCACAGGAGAGGGAGACTTCTTCTCTGTTTTTTCTGTTCCATTAACAGACTTGGAGTCCTCTTTGTTGTGGCTGACTGAGTTCTGTGTGGTGGGCTTCGTGCTCAGTGGCAAATTGATACCCAGGTTTGGTGGCCCTTCAACACTTTTCAATGTCCCATGCATAGACTATTTAAAAACAAGCAAAAAAAAAAGAGAGAACAAAACCACACTATTGTAATGAGCAATTGGTTACAATTTGCTGATAATATGACTAATGTTGCATGCTCAGCTGTTGCATGATAGAAATCAAGAATTAGAAAGGCATTGTCTGCATAAGTGACAGAAATAAAGTTGTGACTGGGCTTAGAGCCAGCCAACACATACAAAAGATAGGAGGCAACCAGCTGCACAACTGGAGTACATAGTAAAATCCAGCATGCTTTGCCTCTGTGAAAGGAAAAAAATGGGCAATATAAACGACTCCAAGAGAAAAACAATATAGGTGATAGGAAATCCATCCAAGAAGCCAGGCTTTGCATTTTGGACCTCTCGAAAGCAGTTATTTTGGAAAGTAGACTTTGTTCCTTCTCATTGGCTAAGACTTTGGAAAACAATTGTGACTGTTATACAAACTGAAAAAATTAAGCACATAGGGACCAATCTACTAAGACCCATCACTTTTTCAAAAGGTTGACTTCTAACAAGGTCATGTCTTTCCTTGACTAGTGGTTACCTTGATATGGTCCATCATAAGTTGTTTCTGTGCATATAAAAGAGAGCAATCTGGACACTTGAAGACAGACACCTTCTGGTTTTCAATGTGCTGATCAAAGTGGCGATATAGCAAAGGTTGCAGGGTAAACACTGTGTCACACATAGAACACTTGTATATGATTCTAAAAAGGAAAAAGAACGAATGTCAGTCCATTGCTGTGTTCTATGGTGCAAACATTTTTTTTCACAAAAAACAGTTAGGTATTGATGAAAGCTTCAGTAAGCCTTGGCAGACTGTTTTGTAGATTCCCATTCAATCTGAAATTCCCTTTCAAGTGTATGATTTAATCAGAAACATTTTGCATCTTCCTAACATTAGTTCTAAAAACCACAGTCTAAAAACCACATCCCAGAACCTCTATATCTTTCCTTGAGTGAGCTGCCCCTTCCACATCAGCCAAAAGGTGTGCCATGATTATATCATTGAACTGTCTCTTTCAGACCTTTCAGCTAATGCACAGAGCTTGAGGTTCATTCAATGAGGCACAATGTTATTGGGGCAGGAATAACAAAGAGTGGCCTCAGTCCTCCATCCCCACCCCAAAACCAGTTACTATATGTGGAAACAGTCTCATACTCCCTAGTGTAGATCAACATGGTATTTAAACTCTAAAGCTCCAGGAGCACCTTTCGGAGGATTAAATAGTGTTAAGTAGTACTGATGTGGAATGGGCTTTCAAATGACATTTTGAAGCTGTGAATCACTTTAACAGTTCCAGCAGGTTACGATAAAAGCAAACAGGAGACCCTTGCTGCTAATAAAGAAAAAATATCAGCCATTTTTCATTAGAGCTGATGCTGACATTTTGCATAAAGCGAGGTTTGGAGCAAGCAGTCTTCTTCAAGTAAAGCAACCAAGGAATATCCAGCGTAGCCAAAAGAATGATAAAATAACCAACAGCATTTCTCAAGGGAGTTTTATGCATCTCTACTGATGATGATATTTTGTCAAAAGCGTTCAGTGTTGTGTGGTTTCCAGGCTGTACGGCTGTGTTCTAGCAGCATTTTCTCCTGATATTTTGGTTGCATCTGTGGCTGGTATCTTCAGAGGATGCCAGCCACAGATGCAGGTGAAACATCAGGAGAAAATGCTACTATAACATGGCCATACAACCAGAAACTACACAACACTCCAATAATGATGATAGATTATGAAAATCTGTAAAGCATATTCACAGCTGTAGTAAAAGGTAAAGGTTTTCCCCTGACATTAAGTCCAGTCGTGTCCGACTCTGGAGGTTGGTGTTCTTCTCCATTTCTGAGCCAAAAAGCCGGCGTTGTCCATAGACACCTCCAAGGTCATGTGGCTGGCATGACTGCATGGAGCACTGTTACCTTCCTGCCAGAGCGGTACCTATTGATCTACTCACATTTGCATTCACAGCTATACATTAGGTAAAGTAGTCTGACTTTCCCCAAGACATTATGGGATTTGTAGTTAGACAGATGGCTCAAAGAGCCATATTCCTCCCCTGCCAAACTATAATTGCCAGTATTCCCTTGTGAGATGGGATGGCAGTAAAGCCAGTTCACACTTAGAGGAACTGCAGATGCTTCTGAATCAGCCTTCTCAAAGTTACCTTCATCTTCTAGATCAGTGGTTCTCAACCTGGGGTCCCCAGATGTTTTTGGCCTACAACTCCCAGAAATCCCAGCCAGTATACCAGCTATTAGGATTTCTGGGAGTTGAAGGCCAAAAACATCTGGTTGAGAACCACTGTTCTAGATTAACGTTACCCAAAATGAGGGTCCCTGGACCAGTGTTGGCACCTGAAATGTGCTTTGGAAAGTTTCCCAAAAAGGAATAAATAACCATTGTAGTCAATGTACAAAATTAGTTAGTGCCAGTCCCCAACACACTGGGAAAATATAATAATTTCCAGCTCCCCACATCAAACTGCTCTAGATGGAGTTGGAATAAAACTGCTGCTAGGCAATGGTGGTGGCTGTGATTCAACAAATCCAGAAGGCACCGAATTGGAAAAAAGCTGCCATGTACCTCCAGCCATGAATCCCCGAGTTCAACTTTGAAAATCTCGGAAATGGTTACAAATCCCTAAGGAAATTTTTGGTTAAAACTTACTCTGACTCCAAGACCTTTCAACTACACTAAAAATAAATGAGCTCCTGCATATATTTGTTTCGGTTTTTACGCAGGAGCATAGTGCTCATTAGCAATAACATCTGCCCACGGGGAAAAATCAAAGCTGTTGCAGATAATTTAGCATATTTAAGCAACTTCTATTTTTCGGGGGGAGGAAGGGATTGGGAATCAAAATCTTTACAGTGTCACAATATTTCACAACCATAACAAACTGCTTCATCTGGTCTCACCATAGTAGCCAGCATTTTTATTATTCTAAAATGCTAAATATATACATTCATATTTTTAAAAAATGAGTAAAGGCATTTGCTTTTTTGGGCTACACTGATGTTAATAAAGACAAACAAAACTAAAGAGACAAAATGCAAGTGGGAAAAAGAGTGCCTGAAATGCATGATAAGATGGCATCCTTCCCTGGAAGATGAGCATTAACTGACCAGACTGTCCATTTATTCTTGCTTCAGCATGAGCAATGGGATAACGTCATCCTTGCAGTGGAGGTAGAAAAGACAGAAATGCTTTATGGTATATCTATCTCTAACTTACATAAGAACAGAAGTGCTGGAATAGATGGGGAACTGTAAAGTGGCTATTCTGAGTCTCTAATGTCTCCTGCCTGAAGCGACTGCCTTACGACAAAATGGCCCCTACAGCAAGGTTGTGCTGGTACGGTTGTACCAGGAGCTCCAACTTCTTTTCCTTTCTATTGAGTGTCTGCATGTATTCCAAAGTTCCATGCATTTTGCAATAAGGTGGCTTTCTTTGGTTTGCAATCATAGGGCCAATGACCCATCAATTATCATTATGTTCTTTAGTTCCGCCCCTTTTTCTGGGTTAAGGAGGGAAAAATGGGACCTCTAGTTCAGTTCACACAGAGAAGCCTTTCGTACAGGATGTGAATCAGTTCCACCTGTAGAAAGCTTCGTCTTTTACAGCTTTGCTGGGGGGATTCAGTCCCACAGCTCTACAGATAACTACAGCATAGCCTTTGTTGGGGAATTTAGCTCCACAACTCTACAGCCAGCTTGGCAGTTTTATAGCCAGCCTTTGCTGGGAATTGAAAGTCTTCTTTCCTCTTGGAAATCTACTAAAGTACTCTGTTTGGTAAGGACCACTCGCGGCAGCCATAACACAATTTGGACCGGGTGTGGGGGCCCACGCCAGCAGAACTTAAGTCAGATTGCCCAGGGAGGGGTCAAGGATTTTCCTTGTAGAAGGAAGAAACAGTTTATGAAGAAAGTTGCCTGTCCCTTGTGGACAAGATTTAAGCAAGCCACCAGTTGATTCAAAGCCTTGAAGTATTTGTTTGATTTATTGAAGATTTAAGCAACAATAAAAACTTTGTTGAACTTTCTAAGTTTTTAAAAGAACTTTGTGTGGGGAAATCCGAAAGGCCTCTCAGCCGAGGCACCCCCAGCGTCCTGTTGGACATTCAGAAAACACATCCTATCTACAGACTCTTTCACTGGCCCAGCGCGTGACAGCACAAAGGCAATATATAACTATACACATTTATTTAGCTAGTTCTCCCACATTTGTGAACTTAACTTTTGCAGATTTGATTATTCACAGATTAGATTAATATGGTATCTCTGGAAGTATCAAGGTCTTCCAGCTTGACCCTAGAATTGTGCTGGAGGATCTAAACATTCCTAGAGATAACATCTCTCTTGAGTCTCACTAGTGGACCTAGAGATTTCTAGAGAGGTGTTTTTTTAAAAAAAATGTGATTTTTTAAATGCAGGTTCTGCATTCCTATCTCCCACAAATCTTGAGGGTGGACAATACTCATAGTCAGGTAATGATGAGCCTCAGCAACACCTCTATGTCAGCAATTTTTCCCAGAAAATATATTTTAATTTTTTTATTAGTTTTACATAAATCTAGGGATTTATACCACAAAGCTCAACACCAAAAAGTATGACATGTCTAGAAATGTAAATTGCCCTCTATGTTGTCTTTTTTTTTTTTTTGCTTCTTCAGTGACATAGGAAAATGCCCCACCGTCATAACAGAAAGTTAACATTTCTTGGTATATGAAGTAGTACACGGTAATTCTCGTGACCTTTTATTTTTATTGAATGATCAAGTAGAAAGCAAAGATCTGTATTGCTTACTTGGGTTCCCCGATCTTGATCCCAGGGTGTTGCGTATAGGCGTGGGAATGTGTACTCGGTGCTGACTTGAACGCCATGGGACAAATTGGACACTTGTAGAAGACTTCACAGTGAGAACCTTGAATGTGAGATTTGAGAGCAGCCACATCCGAGTAGACTACATTACAATGGACACAGCTATGAAAGAGGCAGAGAATGATTTCAGTATTTTCTGTTTTAAATTTAAATGTTTGTATACATGCCAGTGGCTTCACAGTACAAAGAGCAACATTTTTGGATTACAATTATGAGGTGCTCCAGCCAGAATTATGGGTGTGTCGCAGATTGACCACCCTCATTGGGGAGAGGAATCTGGAAAGGCTTGGCTTGCATTTTTAAAACTCCCGGTAAAGACTTTGAAAACAATTAGCTACTTATTCCTTAGCAGCTCTAACAAAAATAAGCACTCAATTTAATGCAAACACTAAGTGAAGGTAGTGATAACTATTCTCTGGCAGATTCTCCATAAACAATATCCAGCAGGCTGTACTACTCATTCCAAACGTCTCCAATTCCAAACCTCTCCAGACATCTCCAATTCCTCCATTTCATCCATCTTGCCACTCCCTCCTTTCTTCCTTTTCCATAGTTTCCCCCCAGCCCCATCATCTCATCAGACATTCCTCCCAGTTGCTCCTTATCACATTGTTCAATGCCTCAACACTTCGCAAGCTCCCACAGCTCTCCTTTACTTCAGGAGCTACTTTGCTTGGCTATGGGTGGTGCCCTCTTTACTCCTCCACCTGTTACAGGGAGTAGAAGGCTAAAAAGAGCATTTCCCTCTCCATCTTATGGACATATTCAGTAAAGGTTACTTCGGAGGAAGGATAAAATCACTAGCAAACACAACAGTTTTCCAGAATAGGGTCTAGAAAGGATGCCAAATGGCTCCTGGCTCAATAATGCTCAAATTTCCAAGAAAGCAACATCAAAATGTTTTAGTGCAGTTGCAGGAAAAGCAAAGGAGTTTGATCTTCTATAGAAGACTGGTAGAGAATGCCTAGTATACAGGAAATTATCTTCAAATTAATTTGTGATAACTAAGAGAAATTATTCTCAAATTCATTTTCAGCATCCCAAAAAGGACAAATATGACCCAAGATATTTTACCACTCAAGCAGCTTCATCAAATATACTCCAAAATGTTTCACAAGACTGGAATTTAGAAACAAGGGGGGTTAGCAAGTGACAAACAAAAACTAACCAAATGTAGATGTTTCTGAAGGCAACTTAAAAATGGATGATGCTCATTACATTCCATGCAAAGACAGCCTGCTATTTTTCATCTTATGTTTTATTGGAGAAGGGATTATAAATGAGCACAACAAGAAAGGAATGAAAGGAGAAAGAGAAATGTTGGCAATATTTAACCATGTATTTTTTAAAAAAATAACAAAAAGAAACCTGATTGATTTCTTAGGCAGTCTTAGAAGAATCAAAAGCAAAAGATGGAAGGGGAATGCTTCTGTGGCACTAAAAGCCTTCCCATAATCCCTTCTTGAATTCCAGCTGCACTTTGGATAGGTTGAAAATAGAGTGTATCATGTTGTGCATTAAAGTTGACATAAGTATCTTTTTCCCCATTGAAGATACACAATAAGAAGCTGCTTGGGCAATGAAAACTGTAAAGCTGAGCATCTGCCAGATGTTGGAAGCTAAAGCTCTGAACTATTCTTACCATAATGCATCCCTAGGGGATGACATCACAGCAGGATGCTTATGGGGAAATAAAGGGACTTTCAACAACAACATGTAGTACATTCCCCTAAGCATTTTTTTTTAAAAAAATACACTTTTGTTTCTTTTTAAAGAAACAGAAGGTGATCCACAATAAATGGGTAAAAAAACTATGCAGGAGAAAACATATACCTAAACAATTGGTCCCAATAAAACAGTGGGTCCCAACTTTTTTTTTTGACCAGGGACCACTTTGACCAGGGACCACTCTCCAACATTAGTACCAAAAGGGTTACAAATCAGTTTTTGGTCAACTTTAGATTCGGTTTGGGGTGCTGATTCAGAAAATTGCACTGGATAGACCACATCAACTCTAGTTTCTGATACAGAACAAATGCCATGGTCAGTGAGAAGGAAGGAATGGCAAAATATGCAAAAGGAGCAGAAATAAAATAAAATAAATTAAGAGGAAGGAGGCTTGCAGACCAGATTATTGTCTTTGTGACCCACTGGTGGTCTGCAGCCCACAGGTTAAGAACCACTGCCTTGAAAGAAGCAAACCAAAATTCCTTATAGCCTCTTCCCATTTTAATAGCAAATCACAAAGACATGCAAAGCAGCAGAAAGTTACAGATCAGAATGAGAATATTTTCTAGGCCTACACTTATATCATTTTACAAAACTTGAACACCTTCATGATCAGCAATTTCATTTTTGCAATTGCAATTATTTCACATGATTATTGTATTCTCAATTGGTAACAAACCACTATTTATAACAGCTTCAAGCATTATTATTACTGCTATTATACTGTGGTTATACTAACCGAAAGCCAACTCTTCGAGTGTAATGGAGGCAGTTCTTTGTGACATGGGTCTGGAAGTGCACCGACCGACATATTGCACCACATTCAGGACAAGTGTATGGAGATTTATGCTGATGAATTCTCTGATGCGATGCAAAACTGCAGGGGTTTGGAAGCAACATCTGGCATATACTGCAGGTCTTCTATGCAATAAACATATAAGAATATATAAGGGAAATTAGCCATTTGGGTTAGCCATACACTATATTTTACAAAAGTGGTCATGATTCTAAAGAGATTTTAAAATAAAATACTACTATCAAGCTATTATGATGTGTGATTTAAAAAATAACAACATATGAATAAAAATACTGTAATCCAGAATTATGGCTGTTTTAAAAGGTATGCACATGTTTTGGGGAGGCAATTCTGTTTTATTTGAGGACTAAGGAGAAAAAATTGTGTTAATTTAACTGGTTTCAATAACTGTATTTTTAACGGTATAATTCGATATCATTTTTAAAAACCAAGTACCCTGATCCTATTTTATACAACAGCAGAAAATACACGGTACAAAGAATAGTGAAGCTATCCAGGACCACAGAGAATCCATACAAGCTATAGCAGATAATGCCTTCATTATACTGATATAATTTTATGTCATCTTCTCTCTAAAGAGCCCACCCAGCCTAATATTTCACTTTCTTTCTTATCTGAGTTGCAATAAAAGATTGTAAATGACCCCAGATTAGCAAGCCAATTTTGCAACTGAGCAGATGGGTGAATTCATGTCTGATAAGTCTATGTCCAACATAAAAGCCACCACTCCATAATGGTAAACTTACCTTTCTGAAGATAAATTATTATAGACTAGCCATCCTCTGCCATTCATGGCTGTGGCCCAGTCTGTGTATATGAGTTTTGTGTGTATATATGTGTGTGTATATATTTGTGTATATGTGTTTATATGTGTATATATGTGGTTATGCGCATGCGTTGTAGTGTATTTTTATTTTAATTTTTGGCTTTTAAGTCTCTTCCGCTGTGTTTTCCAATGTTTTTATGAGTGATAGTCACTTGTTGGCCTGATAGGTATATTGTGTCCAAATTTGGTGTCAATTCGCCCAGTGGTTTTTGAGTTATGTTAATCCCACAAACGAACATTACGTTTTTATTTATATAGATTAAGGGGAAGCAACTTGTAGTCCTCTAGATATTGCTGCTCTGCAACTCCTTATCAGAAATTCCTATTGAGTACACTGGGTGCATGTGTTGAAATTACTATATTTAGTAGGGAACCACAGGTTGTCCACCCCTTTTTCCAAAGTTTGCTATTACCAGGAAGGTAAACTGCACTACAATTCGATGTACAACGTGCAGCATTCCGTCATTTTGGACAAAGGATCAGGATAAAAATGTAAACAACAGATGATCAAAACATCACAACAGTGTTGCTAGAATCCTTTGGATGACTTGTATATGTATACATGAGAATCTGTTGACAATTTTTAAACTAGCTATGGAAGCAGAATAACACCTGTAGAACTCCACATCCACAGATTTATGCTGTGCAACCCTGATCCGTGCCTATATCCAATACTGGTGTTGATCCTTGCATGTAAACAAATGCCTGTGAAATTGTATATAATCTTCAAGAAAATCCCAGAAAATCCCCACATTTAAAAGTAACATTAAAGCCTAACATCAAATTAAGACCTAACATCAGTAAATTAAACCTGACATCAATAARTTAAACTATAYGTAATCAGACCAAATTCTATAATAACATAAATCTAAACAAAACATCCACATTCGTGTATGACAGCCAGCAAGGGTTCACAAAAYGGTGTAGGTGGGTATATAGACAAATGAGGTCATAGGGCTGGTGTAGACCAGGAAAGCCCAAATACGAATAGTTCTCAACCAGAATCTTGGCAATGATCTTTCGACCATCTAATCTCCCTCCTCTCCATATGCTAGTGAGCAAAAGTCGGTCTTTTAAAAGAGAGAAGGGAGGGGGCCAGCTTTATTTCTTTAGGGAGGGAGCTCCAGAGGTGGTGGGGTTGGGGGGGGGGATTGAAAATTTAAGCACTTCAGCAAAATGTACTTGGTTTGCAGTAAACCAATTAATCAAAGAGAGGGATATAGCATTCATTTCCAATATTCTACTTGATTACATACAAGAAAGGGAAGAAACAGACAAAAATATGCCAGTACCACCTTGCATTCCTATGCAATACAAGCTAGAATTCTACCATTTCATTCTGTGTACATATCGACATTCAATTTGGAAATCAAAGGAAAACAAGATTCTGCTGCAAGTCCATAGGTAGCCTAGCAACAAGGAGGACATTTATATAACTCAAGTACAATTTGTCATAGAAGCCAGCTTCTTCTAAACCAAGCTTCTAGTTCAGTGTGTCTCAACCTTCCTGATGCCGCAACCCCTTAATATAGTTCCTCATGTTGTGGTGAACCCCAACCATAACATTAATTTCGTTGCTACTTCATAACTGTAATTTTGCTACTGTTATGTATCGTAATGTAAATATCTGATATGCAGGATTATATTAATTCACTTGACCAAATTTGGCACAAATACCTTATACGACCAAATTTGAATACTGGTGGGGTTGGCGGGGCATTGATTTTGTCATTGGGGAGTTGTAGTTTCTGGGATTTATAGTTCACCTACAATCAAAGAGCATTCTGAACATCACCAAATATGGCACTGAACCAAACTTGGCACACAGAACTCCCATGACCAACAGAAAATACTGGAAGGGTTTGGTGGGAATTGAGCTTAAGTTTTGGAGTTGTAGTTCACCTACATCCAGAGAGCACTGGGGACTCAAATAATGATAGATTGAACCAAAGTTGGCATGAATACTCAATATAGTCAAATGTGAACACTGATGGAGTTTGGGGAAAATAGACCTTGACATTTGGGAGTTGTAGTTCCTGGGGTTTATAGTTCAACTACAACCAAAGAGCATTATAAACTCAGCTCACAATGGATCTGCACCAAACTTGGCACACTACCTACGTGGCCAACATTGCATACATATGGAGTTGGGAGGAGCTGTTTTTGATTTCTGGGAGTTGTAGTTCACCAACACTCTGTACCAAACTGGTGATGAAACTAGTAAACTTGCCACACAGAACTTGTCTCAGTAAAAGCTCTCCCCTTGGCTGAGAGACCAGCCAATTACAGCGGAGGATGAGAGGATTTTGATGAGAGGATTTGCTATCTGTTTCCAAAATGAAAGAGAAGGACAGGTGGACAGAAGGAGTTCTTCAGCCTTCTCTGCCAAAGGGATTCCTAAGACCATCAGGAATATGTTTTCTGATGGTCTTTGGTGACCCCTCTGAAACCCCCTTGCAACCCCCTCAGGAGTCCCGACCCCCAGGTTGAGAAACACTGTTCTAGTTCATGGGAAACCAGTTTTTAAAAACTCGAATTCTTTAAAATTTAAATCAGATGAGATTGCAGCATGGCAGATGTTCAAATACTGGTGCTGCCAATACCTATGTACATCATTATGTACATCTTCATTGCTACAGACTACCTGGGTGTTCTTTTGAGGTGAAAAGACTTCTGCAACTGGCATCTGGACCCACCAGCTGTTCTGCATAACAAGTTGCCTGGGATTATAACTGGACCCAAATCAATGGCTCTTTTGTATTTCTGCACCACAAAGAAATCTAAGCACACTCTGAAGACCTGTAAATTGTTGACATGAGATGTCTTTGAAATGTTTTTGTTGGATGCCTTTCAATCATTCCACTACTGGTAACTCCAAGGCAAATCTATCGCAGGTTTTTTTTTCTTGGCAAGATTTCCCTAGAGTAGATTTGCCATTGCATTCCTGAGGCACAGAGAAGGCACAGATATAAGATATAGGATATAAGATACGTGACACCTGGGTTGATAACAATAAATGTGAAAGGGGTTTTGGAGTCTTAGTAGACCACAAGCTGAACATGACTCAACAGTGTGATGTGACAGCTAAAAAAGCCAATGTGATTCTAGCCTGCTTTAATAGGAGTTTAGTGCCAAAGCTGAAGAAAGTAATAGTACTACTTTTTTCTGCTTTGGTCAGATCTCACTTGGAATACTGTGTCCATTTCTAAGCATCACAATTCAAGAAGGATATTAACAAGGTAGAATGTGTTTCGAGAAGGACAGCTAAGACAGTGAATATTCGAGAAGCCAGGGCCTATAAAGATTGGGTTAAAAAAACTGGAGATATTTATATTGGAGATGAGAAGGTTAAGAGAGGACATGATAGCTCTGTTTACATATTTGAAAAGATGTCATATTTAGGAGGGGCTAAGCTTGTTTTCTGCTGTCCTGGAGACTAGGACACAGAGCAAATGATATAATTTATTTCACTATTTTTAGAAATGCAAGTAGTTCTATATGCATTAGTTAGTTTAATAATTACTTTAACAAAAAGTAAAATGATAATAATTAGTAATATTTGAGTTTCCAAACAATTCAGACTATTTCTTTATAAAAAAATTCTGCAAAATTATTTGAAAAGGTACAAGGCTAAGACAGTGGAACGAAATATGAACATCTTTCAGCACACATACAAACATCATTCCCACAGATATTGCTGGGGAAATAATGAAACTAGATATCTGGACATTCATGTTTAGCATTATAATTGTGTTATTTAAAATAATAAAACATATGTAATGGGGTGACTAAAACATTCTTGCAAAAGCTGGTAATTTTAAAAAATTATGTACAGTATAAAATGAACCTATAAGTAAAGTAAACATATAATAAAACCGATATATTAATTTGTTAAATAAGCATAAATGAGTTATGTAGTCCCTTGAAAAAAACATTAAAATGTTTTCCCACTAGAGTGTTTAATGGATTTTACATCTAATCTATTCTCTCCCCTCTTTATGCTTAACATTTTGTAGTGTTGTGCTATCTCTGAAGTAAAAACAAATCAAGATCTGCAAATCAACTTCAGTTTTGGTTTTTTTAAAAACTGGTTTAAAGCTAACTAGTGGCAAATATAGCACTACACCATGACTACTATAAAAAAGGAACAAGTTCAGCAAAAGAGTTCAAGAAAAATTGTGGAATCTTCTTTCAACATTGGTTAAAAGTATGGGATGCATATATCTGTACCTTGTCTATTAGGAATAAAAATAATTTTAAAAAACAAAAAACTGCCAG